GTCCCCTGGTGGTGGGTGTGCCTCTCAGCTGACCGGGATGTGCAGCCCTTCCCAGAGCAGGAGCAGCCACTCAGAGGGCGGGTCCACAACTGCTCAGCTGACTGGGATGAGCGGCTGCTCCCGCAATGGGCTGATCCCCACAGGCCACGCCCCCCCACCAGTGCACGAATCTGTGCACCGGGCCTCTAGTTAATGCATAAAGAAGCTGAGAATATTGCCCAAGAAACCATGGAAAGCAAGAATGTAAAACTAGCATGACTGGTTTTTGCACTTATTTTGAATGTTCGTGTAATTGAGAAGTTTTAACAGTATAACATATGGAACCCAGAGTGGTCTAGGACTGAGGTAAAAGGCAGGAGGTGGGTAAGAAGCTTTGGTATAGAGCTCCCTGGTTACCCATACCTTTCTTCATAAGGGCAGGGGGAGGTCAGGGGAGAAAAGGAGGAAGTACTGAGGGCCACAGAGAAGGAAGTGGAGGTATAAAGGCAACAACTTAGTGTTCACAGGTAGCAGGATTAGACACGTGCAACTCAGGGAATGTCCAGAACTCAGAAACACACCCAAATCTAGGTCCAAATGCCCTGGTCCTTTAAAGTTAAATCTGTTTTCACATTTATCAAAGTCAGAAATGTCAAGCTAAATTAATTTCAAAGGTAAATCTGCATTCAGAGATATTTCCTTCAAATACTTGAAATTATTTTTAAAAGGAAAAGTCAATTGACAGTTGAAAAGCTTCCCCAAAGTAGGTAGGTAAATAGATTTGTTACTGTGGAATTTGGGTTTTAAATTTTTAACATAATTTATGCTGGTACTTTCAAAAAATTTAGTTCTGCCAAACCTTTGCACTTTACTAGTAGAGAGCCCTTTTATGAAAGATCAAAGGAGATACCCAGGGTCCTTTACATTTGTTTAAGATAAAAGCCAATAGTCTTCTCTCGCCACAGATGGGGCTCAGAGGACCAAACACCCGACACCTACCTGTGTTTGGAGGAGGGGGCTT